AGAATCAGAATCCAAGGCCAGCTACTGGACAGGTTGAGTGTCTAAGCCCAGCTGCTGGAAGGATCCACATTGTATATATTTCCCCCTAACAGACCTTTATCCTTATCAGCCAAAAAAGGGAACAAGATGAGACTGTTGGTGCTGTTTGCGAGCGCTGAGTGTTTCTGTCTGTGTTGATCTGTGTGGCTGGCTGTGTGCATATGTGTGTTGTACACATGTTTTTGTGTGTTCCTATTGGGAACACGTGCTCAGCCTCACTACTGATTACACTTGGCGACAGGGAGCTACAGCAACCTCACCCCTATTGAACTACTGGACTCGGTAAGGGTAAGAGGTAAGGGCCAAGTCCATAACTGAAAGCCGCCCTTCCACGCACTAATTTTGAAAGGCAAAAATTCAGTTATTTTTATTATATTTAATCACACACATGAAATTCTGTCCTCCTGTATTTCAGTGAATATAATAATCTCTTCCTTTGCTGTGTAATCTACTGTTTTGATAAAGATATGATATTTCTGGTGATTTCCAAGCTCATAAGTCACTTAATTTGTTTTTTAAATGCAAAAAGATTATCCTTTTCAACCATTTTACTTGTTTTTAAATTCAGTAGGTATTACGGGTATACCCGATAGTCTGGATGGCAAGTAAAAAATTTTTCATCAGAAGATAAGCTGTTGCAGTTGTATACTTTAAAAAAAAAAAAAGTTAAATTATTTCTAAAGTTTGAAATGAAGAGATAATATATGTACAGTTTTGTTACCTGTATTCATGCAGAAAGATCTGGCCCACTGATATCAATGACAAATCTAAAAATCTAGTCTGAAATCCTCAGCCCAGAAAAGTTATTAGCACACTAACTGTCAACATTAGGGAGACTAAATATTAAGGGAAAAGACTTCTTCCAGCAGCAGGCAGTGATGACTATCATGGACGGCAGGATGACAAGCCTGTTGCCTCTAAAGCAAGTCTCTAAAGCAGGTTTTTATGAGTGTGAGTATAGAGCACAAAGGTAAACTTACTCTTTTCCAAAAAATTGATGTAAGTGT